AAGTTTATTTGATATTTTATTTTAGACAATTCCAACAATTTTTCAAACATGTATGAATGTTTTAACTAATGATGAACGTCAAGCATTAGCAAATGCATTAAATTCCAAACCACCTACACAAAATCATCAAATTGGATCTACAACTCATATAATTAATCATCATGCTAGTGTTTAAAATTCAGAAACTGTTATCAATATTTTTTTTTCTTTCTCTTCTATTTTGTTACGATCTCTTCTTTATTATTATTATTATTTTTTTTTTCTTCCTATATTTGTCTTTTGACTGAACACAAGAGAAAAAACAAACAACAACACCAATGATAAAATTAAATCGATTAAACTCTTTATTTTCTTTTGCTTATTATTTCTTTTTGTGTTCATTATTCTTTTTCTTTTTCTTTTTCTTTTTTCTATTTCGTAAAACGAGAACGTTTATGTATGTCAAGTGTCTATGATGAAGAGAAAACAAAACAAAACAAAAAATAAAGATAAAACAAGCGACATTATCCATCGAATTATTGTTCTTTCTTTATTTTTAAATATTTATTTTGTCAATGGTCGCTCGTGTTCAGCTCAAAGCTCTTGTACAATAGTCAGTGACGTATAAAAACAATTTATATCTTTTAAATTGTCCTCAAACAATCATAATCTTCTATGGAAATTTACCAATGACCTTTGTGATAAAGATATCTATTTGAGCTTTATTTTGCACCTACAAAGTTTCTAACAGTATCACAGATAGAAGAATAAAACAAGGATCGATTAATATTTGAACTGAATCGCATGTGAAATCATTTGTCATGGTAACAATTTTGAACTCAGAGAAGTGTTATTTTTATTGCACAAAATGTCTGAAAACAATTTTTAACGCTAAGCATACTAACGTTGCAACCGGTAACGATAAATAGCTGGTCAGGTTCGGTAGAACAGGGAGCTACTGTTATGATTTTCGTACAAAAATTTTCAAAAGAAGTAGAATTTGAGTTTCGTTACTCCGTCGAACACGCGAAAGTTTATTTAATATTGATTGAATGTGTTGTATTTTTCCACCAATCAAACATATGATCATATCCATGTAAGGAACAAATATAAATCAGTGAATATACAACTAGCGACTAATAAAGTAAGGAAAAGAGTTCTCAACAAATTCTCTGTTGATATATCTTTGCAATTACTTCAGCAATTTCAACAAATAAATAATCATTTTAAAGAACATTTAAAAGTGTATCTATTGTGTAAAAATAAAGATTCAAACTCGTGGAGTAAGAGGGAGTCAATAAAGGAAGTTTGTTACATACGTTTTTGGTTCTCGAAAAACAATACTTTAATGTTGCATAGTTAGAACTTAAAAAAGACTTCTTTTGTCTCGGACAAGATGTTTTTAACGATTTCATACAACTCAAAGTAACCACCGTTTTAGCCGACGCCAGTAGCAACGCAGATAATGTTACAAGCACCTCAGATGACTCTACACCCATACAACCTGATGCTACAAGCATTCCAGATTATGCTACGCGCATGCCAGATGTTGCTAGTAGCATTCCAGATAATGGTAAGAGTATTTCAGATGACGCTACAAGCATCTCAGATAATGGGTGCGTGTCTGAGTGTGGGCGTTAGTATTCCACATACCCAACTAGTCAAGCTTTTCCTTTTCTTAAGTATTTCTCTATAGAGAATCCTATACTGCAGTTATGGAATATTGATGAATGAAAATCCATCTTATTCAATGATTGAATATTCTCATCTTAAATCATTGGACATTACACGTGCTCATAAAGATTATGGTGCATAATTTCTAGTCGAAGCAAAAACTCCTCTACTTCGTTTAACTAAATTATATATCAATTATCAACAATTGAGAATTGTAATATTGAATCTTATAAGAAATGCAACACGACTCAATTGTTCGAAAGTAAAATGATTAATTGTCGGAGGATTAAAATTTTCAAAAGATCTTTATGAATATTTTCCTTCATTGTAAGTTCAGTTCTATGTTGTTGACTTGGATAAAAATAAATAATGTAAACATTTTTATATTATCACAAATAAAAGAAATAAAAATTATCGAATATTGCCGTGTAACAGACATTTTTCTTGGAAAATTTGTCAGACTATTCTATTGGTTTGTATTTATATGTGAAATTATGTAGGCTAATGACAATAAGAATGAGAAAACTATTATAACAGTTCTATGAGAAAATTGTTGAAACTGAACGCAGAAAAACATCAGAATATCATCTATTTCGATCTACTTTCTGTATGCACGAATAGCCATGCAGGAGAATTATTTTAACCATATTATTAATAAGCTGATGACATCTCAAAGAATCATTTGTTATCCATAGTTTCTAATGAATGCAGAGAAAATTTGTTTTGATTGAGAATGAAGTTTATAGAAATAAAAAAGTTGTTTATATTGAAAGATCAGTCATAGATATATAACAAATGATTGGATCACTATAAATCGTATTGAAGTGATAATAAGAGACAGAATAACTAAATAGCTGCTATATTTTATCAATCAGAATATTAAGGTTAATACACATTTCAATTCAAAGATAAGAAAATAAGAAACTATCACCTTCAAACACTATTTTTGAGTGTTCACTTTTTATTTTTAAAACGAAAAGTGAATTCTAGATCGATTTCGACAAATATATAATTGAATCCTATAGATGTCAAATCTCTATTAACCTTAGGATGCTTTTTTGTGGGTTCAGCCAGACCCAGAATACTGTTTTTTTCTTTTTCTAATCGCTAGCCTTCTAATAATGCACATAGACCACACGAAGTTTTGTGAATATGTTTTAAAGAAAAAAAAAACTTAAACGATGGATTTACATAGACTCCATAAGAACCTTAGCGTTATACAAATGATTTTTACTCTTGTCGAACCTTGGTCTCTGTAGTTTCTGAACGATTCATTATAGTGATTCGAATATTTTTTCCATGTTTGTCTCACAGATTTTGTTACATTTTGATCGACATACTTTTTACATTGTTTCTACTGTTAAAGATCATGTGAAAAGAATATCTTACCGATTAAAATTCGATAAATAAACGAATATGATAAATCTAAGCAAGCAGAGCTAAAACAATTCATTTATGATATTGATTTTATCATATTTTATTCATTGTAAAGTGTAAAAATAAGCAAGCAAGAAATTTTTTCTTATTATAGTTTCTTCTTAATAAAAACTATTTTGTAAACTACAAACAGTTCACACGAATGCTATAGATCATTTTTCATCTGAATGTTTTGCGCATTTTTAAGACGATTACCTTTTTCTTCAGTTTTTGCTAAGTAAATGGCTACACTTCCATTAAGCTAACATGGATTATTCGTAGTCGTTACAAAATATATCAATAATTTAACAAAGTACAAATGTTTTTTTAATCATTACAAAATGATTTATTACAATAAATACAAATAGGAAAATTTGATGAAACACAAGCCAAAAATATTAACTGATATATTCAAAATTCTAATGGTTGAATGAAAATATCATAGATAATAAAAATGAATTAGCATTATTATACGTCGGTGTATGTCAATAACAGAAACATATGAAACTGATTCAATTATGAAATATTTATTTTCAGCCATATGAGACAGCCTAAATGTAATATGAAACTTTAAGTTTCTGAAGTTTGCTACATTCTGTGTTATCAAGTTAATACAATTTTGTGTTGAAGGGATGTGAACTGACTTTTGAGCAAAACATTTTTATTCTAGGCATTCATCGAAGTGGCAGTATCAAGCTATAAAAAATCTAGGCATATCAATTATTACTCATGCAAAAAAAAAGTGATGCGAAAAATTGATTCTAAGTCTATTAAAATCATATATATCTATAATCGATTATTAATCAATTACAAATCGATTGCAATTAAAAATATTGAAATTTCATCGATTAATCTAATTAATCGATTGTAATCAACGTAAAACATACAAAACTGGAATAAAATTCTACCATTTATAATCACATGGAATTGATTGAAAATGATTTTCTTTGCATAATTTTTAAGTCGGTTTTAATCAAAAATAATCCGAATAGTCGATGAAATTTTCGTATTTTAATCTTTCTTTTTATTATAATATACTTAGGGCATACCAAAAGTAGTGGCGCCCGCATCTCAATTTCTTATAGAAGGCTTGAGTAAATTTTCTTTTTTTATGAGGTGATAGAGAAAACGAAGCTCTATTTTTCTGTGCTATTTCATCTCTATTTAACTGGTATTATAATAATAGAATTTCGATAAGAACTGTTTTTGCGTAAAATTTCACTGACTCGTGAGGCAGATTAAATATTTGAATCGCTTAATACGTTGTATTAAAAAACAAAATATACCAAATGATGCAGCGTGAAAAGATCTGCAATTTACATAAGATGACTTTTTTTTATAGTTTTACTTTTTGTTTTCAAAATGAACAAAATTTTGAGTGATCAAGTTTCGAATGTGCGAAAACTATAGTTTTTGATGTAAGATGAGTTCATTTGTTCTTATTTCACCTTTTTGTCATTTGATATCCTTTGTTTAAAAAAAACAAAATATATCACAAGATGCGGCGTGAAAAGCTCTACAATTTACATAATAAAGTTTGTTTTTATTATGTCGCCTTGTCAAAAGAAAACAAAATTCTGTGTAACCAATTTTCGTTGCCCGAAAAAAATCATCCAAAGAGAATTTCTTTTTACTTATTTCAAATACAAAATAAACTGTTCTTTATAAATTGTAGAGCTTTTCACGCTGCATCTTTTGGTATCTTTTGTTTTTAAGTATAACGTATTAAATGATTAGAAATTGGAATAGAAAGCGTACTAATGGATTAGTGAAGTTTTACGCAAAAACAGTTCTTATCGAAATTCTATTATTATAATACCAGTTAAATAGAGATGAAATAGCACAGAAAAATAGAGCTTCGTTTTCTCTATCACCTCATAAAAAAAGAAAATTTACTCAAGCCTTCTATAAGAAATTGAGATGCGGGCGCCACTACTTTTGGTATGCCCTAAGTATTAAAAATCAATTTTTTTGTGATTTCTGTAAAGCTTTTTTTTGTACATGGGTATTAGTTGAATTCGATATGCCTCCATGTATACTTGAAGATGATTTATTCTTTACTTAAATACTGATTACAGAAATAAACATGCCACAGACCTTGAAAATTTTTAACGACATCTCTTTAATGGCCTTCGTAGAAAGGCTAGATAGATTTCAAACTTTAATAACGACATATAGGGAAGCATTTTCCATCCCACTGTGACCAACCCGTCAAGTATTATATTCTATTGAAAATACTGATTGACACTTAGGGACCTCTCTCGTATTTGGAAAAAATATTTATTATATATAAATATATTAATATGGAGTGTTTTTACACATGTATGCAGACCAACATGAGTACAGTCATGCTTTCTTCATTCCATCCATCAAAATAGTATTTGAAAGTGTGTTCATTCTCCCTATTCTACATTTTGAAAATAGCCCACAACTTGTCTGAAGAATATCTGTTTATAACGAGTACTTTAATAGTTCACCTTGAGTACTTTCCATTTTCTTCGATGTAGAATTTTTTTCCTATATATAATATATATATTGAAATGACGGATATGAGATTTTCTTTTCTTTCTTAAAAACGAAGAAAATAACGAGGTAGAGTCTGTTTCTCTTTGTGCGCATATTAAAAATGATGAAACAGAACATTTCAATATAATGATATAAATATCGGTAGTATGTATATTGATCCTCCTTATTTGATGATTTTACATTCTATATATATATGCATAGGTAAGAGCAAAGATGTATATTTTACGACAAAAAATGAAATCACCTTTTGAAGGCTTTAAAGAAAAAGTACGAAGAATAAAACTTGAAGGTTATGCATTGGCTTATGTTTATCAAGATGAACGAACTCCATGGTATGCTAAACTATCAATTGTAATAACTCTTGGCTATTTGTTAAGTCCAATTGATCTAATACCAGATTTCATTCCTGTTTTGGGTTATTTGGATGATCTTATTCTTGTTCCATTATTAATTCTCTTATCAATTAAATTAATACCAAAGGATATTTTAAAAGAATGTCGAGAAAAGGCTCAAAGCCAATTAAATAAGACAAAACAGTCGAAAGAAACAGCCTGGTGGTTTACTATTGTAATTGTGTTATTCTATGTAGTTATCATTTACTTTATAATTAATTGGATAAAATGTAGATGGTTTGGAATGACGAACTCTTCTTTGTCATATAATTCTCAAAATTAACTAAAACTTTCATTGATATTGGATAAAACTATTGTGGAATACAGATTTTCCAAATCTTGCTAATAAAACAGATTGCGTTCTACATTTGTTTTATACTCTCAAACATACGCTTCAAGATTTCTTTTTATTTTTGAATTTTTATTTTATTTTGCAAGAAATCAATAATTAAGCATTTAAAAAATGTTGAAATTGTTAATCATTAAGTTACGTTTTTCGTATAATTTATTGGCCTGATGAAAATTTGCTTGTTTTGATGAATCATCAATTTTAATTCTCTAAAGCATCACTATTTCACCTTAATGTGATGCTTCGCATTTGTGTAAAATTAAACTTAATGGTTACCTTTTTTTTCGTCCTGATCGTACGGAAATAATTAGCTACATTCTGAGAATATGAGTACTTTATATTTTATTAGTAACATAAAATTATTTTGCTTACAGATCAATATATATTTCAGATATGTTTTTTTGATCGGAATCTGTAACAATCACTTGAATTGTCATACAAAATCCAGTGTACATTACTTTTTTTCATGATTTCACTTTAATAACTTTATAGTAATGTCAGCAAGTTTTGTGGGATTTCGATAGACAGAGAGTTGTTTCCCTTATAGCAAATGTTCTTAGTATTTAAATGAGCATTTCAATTTCGTATTGTTTCGCAAAATAAATAATGAACGATATCGATCATGTTTGATCGAATTATTCAGGATCCTAAAATCGTGTTCGTGTGAATCCTGCTTATCTGGTATTTATTTAGTTGGACGTCTTTTTCGTTTAGTAGTTTTTTTCTGAGGCATCAGTCAATCCTTCTACAACGTATATGTGAAACCTAAAACTTGAATTCAATAATTGAACATTTGAATGTCTGAAATTTAGACATTCACGGAACCCATACACAGAATATCTCTCTCCTGAATGATGCCACAAAAACAAACACTCCCATTGGGCAATACTGGAATGGATCAGCGTTGTCTCTCAAGATCTTATAGGAATTATACGAAAATTCTATTTGAAATCAAAAGAGTATTAGAAATGATTCCTTATAGAATAAAAAACGTTCGTTTTTCAAAAAAGATTAACAAAGTAATTTTTCATGTTTTTGTTTTGTAGTTTTATTGTATTAGTTTCTTGAATAATGCTCTTACATTTTTAAGAAGGCAATATTTTTTTTTGTTTTATAAAAAGATGATAATAGAATTTCATAATTATTTATATTTCTTATATGATAACTAACAATTGAATCTATTGTTAAGATGTACTTATTGTTACTTTCTGTCTTTTTTGTGTTCATGTTAGATATCAGTGGCGAGATAGCTACGCTACCCATGCTCGATTATTCTAATTGAATCATTCATAATTATTAACGATAAGATTCTATCATTGTTTAGGGCATTGTCTATTGATGTTTTAGTTTTTCAATGTAAATGTGTTTGAGTGAAATTTTTTGATCGTGTAAATATTTGAGGGTGACACTTAATTAAAATTATTCAAAATAATCAAACAAGTAATTACAGATAAGTATTTGAGAAGAACTATAGTATACTTCTGTTATTTTATTATTATCACTTATTGTATGTCATCAACGGTAGCATAAAAACCACGAATAGCATCAATGGGTACAATTGTTGAGACAATGTTCAATTCCAAACTTGTACGCCGCGCCTAAAAGTCAAAGCAGTGGTGGCGCGGAGAACAGTGGTAGACAAAAATAGCGACATGAACGGTCACTGCGAGAAAGCATTTTTGGTGAGCGCTGCTACCACCTGTACGTTCCTTCCTGAATGAGCTGCAGAATACTTTTGAACACTCGCGTATGAACAATAATATATAGTTTAAAATACCACGAAAGAATATTTAATTAAGCAACATATACGCAGATACCCATATAAACTTATGAGGTACTCATTTCAATAGTAACGTATTTTGTAATTAATTTTGCACAATTTTAGGTTACGATAAGTTAGTGAAATTTCATAAGTTCTGAGTTCAATCGATTTACTATCAGGATAATTTTAAATTAATATTGTTTACGATTTAATTTATAAATTTAACAAATGATCATCAAAAATAAGATAATAAAACGAATGATCTCTCATAAAGAATGAGTTTGTCAAAGATTAAGTCTCTTCTTTTCACGTTCAGCATTTAATGTATATTCTTTGTTCAAAAAAATTCCTATAAGTAGAGTTTAACAATCGGTATGACAAAGACGCGGTCACAAATTTGAAAATAAATGAAAATGAGTAGTAGTAAACAGAAGCTGATGATTCATTTTAATCATTTCAGTTTCGATAAAAATGTCAAATTCATTGGTATGCTCAAACATAATTATTCAAGATTTATTCATTTTGGATTACTAAACCTTTTCAATTTATAAACGAATACTTGAAACAAAAACTTTCACATAGTGAAGAAACACAGTCCTGGTATAACAGAATAACTATTCTAGTTATAGTATAAAATGGAATTTGACATGCAAAAACCCAGTTCAAATATTATTAATAGAAACATATTATATGCTAACAAGAAGCTATAAATTAAAATATACAATAAATGTTGCATTGTATATTAGATTGTACATGTTATTTTTGTGTTACGCCAGAATCACAGTTTAATCCTTTGAATGGATTTCTCTATAGAATGTGTAGAGCATGTTGACTAAAGAGTAATGTTGATTTGACTATTTCATATTTCGATAAACTCATAACTAACGCTTTGATTAGTAATCTTTGTTGACGGTTATATGCATAGCAATTCGAACAATCGTTTATGAAAAAACGAAAATACGTTGTTGTTGTTTTTTTTGATTTATTATAAATCAGTAGATTTTTATTGAAAAACACGAATTAGCAAACCATATGGTATAATAGATGATCGTACTTCTGTAAAGTATTCTACTTCACTGTTAGGAATAATCGGACATATACGTCTGCTACCGGCGTCAATGGTTTCAGCTTGAATCTTATATGTTCCAGGTTGTTGACGACATTGTAGCACGACTTTAGCTTTATAAGATTGTCCTGAGGTTGAACGAAATGAAATAGATGGACTGTAAATATCATCGCCGGAATACGCAATAGTTGGAGATGTATATACTTGAAATTTGCCCAGAATATGACCTTCACGTATTCGAATGACATGTCCACCAATACATTGATCTCCTGGAAGAAGAAATTGATGATGTTCAATGATGGATTTTGCTGCTTGAGGATTTGTGCCATGATAACTTACAACCCATTTGTTCCATATATTTTCAGCTTGTGCTTGTGCATCATCAATATACAATCCGAAACGGACCCAACCACGTGGAATAACATATTTAGAACCTCCTTCTACATAAAAGTTCTTACTACTAGCTGTATAACATTTTTCACAATAGCATCGATTATGTTTTCTATTGAAAAGTTTTTTTGAATATTCCAAAGAGAGCATGAACTCAAGACATAGTTTGAAATAATAACAAGGTTGAAATGTTGTCATACTTGGAGAATGAACTAGATCAGTAGTCGAACGTGCAGCTAAATTCAAATTACTTCGATATTTTCCAACATCTGAATAATCACTTCTTTTACGTACGAAGCTGCTTGATCTTTCATGTGTTCGACTGGCAGCGGAAGCCGATCCACTAGATTTCATAGGTGGACGCATTGAACTGTCTGACGAATTATTAGGCAAAAACAATCTCGAACATTGACATATATTACAATATGCAGTTTCAGTTGACGAAGGACTAGCAAAGAATTTGATTGCTTTGCAGGTAGCACATTTGTAAAGCATAGTATATCCACTGAATATACATATATGTAAATAAATAAAATATATCAATAGAGTTGTGGTTATATAATAGTTAGACGAATAGCTTTCATTTTTAGCAGAAAGAATGTTACTATCCTATCTTAGAACACTCTAACAGTAATAATAGATTAGAAAATAAAACTAGTTTCTCAAGAACAAAGTTCGATTGCTTTCTATAAACTTCAGCAAATAGACAAGATAAATGTTATTCATCATTGTAATATGTGTCTATGGCATTAATGACAGTCTTAATTAAAAACAAAAACGAATAAAACCAATGCATCATTTATTTTAATGTGCTTCAATCATTCTTACGTACCTTTTCGACGAAATAAGAAAAGAAGTATTTGTCAATAATTCGATATTCTCAAGTTGGAGATTGTTCTTTTATAGTTATTTCAAAACTCTGAAGTAAATGCAAATAAAGTTCATAAATGATACAGCAATTCTTTTATACAGCACTTCAGTGACATACTTCCGTTCTGTTTCTTTGATGAATAAATCAACTATGTAATGAGGCGAAAGCGCATGTTTTTTATCAAGTGAGTTGATAAAACAACTGCAGGAGTCAAAAAAAAGTATTATAATACCAAAAGTAAATTCCAACAATATCCATGCCGACAATCTATACATCAATTACATCGAGCGTTATACAAGTTCATAACGAAACTAATGTAAAACCTCGTATTCAAACAAACAATAGTCTTAAAACAATGATAAATCGTCAGACTACTACACGATCACTATACAGAACATTTGCGACTTACAGTAACTTATTTCATAACAAAGAATTATTAATTATAAATAGGAATTTTTCTTTACTTTAACTACACTAGCACCACTATCTAAACGCCCAAGTACTGTGGCAATTGTTTTTATAGTTTTGGGTGTTATTGCATTTTGTATATTTTTATGTGTTTTAATCTACTACATTTATCAACGATGGAGACGTCGTAAGTTTTGTATTATATATTTCGTAGTATCATTAATTACATATATGTAGCTACATCTCGTGTAAAAATTTTTGCTAATTTAACGAAACTTTGTGACGTGAAAATTCGTTAAAAATTGAATGATTAAAAATGTTACAATTTTGATCATGAAAATGCGTTAAAAGTGCGCAAAATTAACGCGTTTAAACACGTTTTTGAATTCTAACGATCTTTTTTCATTAGATCAGTAAATTTTTAATAATTCTTCACACGTGAATTTATCGAGAAATGCGTGAAAACGCGTTAAATACGAAAGCTGATTAACATGTTATCCCTCAGAATTTTTCATACATTCTTATTTACAGCAAGTATGATGAACTTCCGTCAATAATCAATATCTTGCTTAGTTTCACTCGTCTGAATAGAAATGTCCAGCTAATCAATTCAATATTGGATATACTTTCTGATAAGATGCTTCAGAAAGTATTGTTATCACGATATATATTTCGTAATAGGTAGCAAAACCACCGAGGAAGTACAATATATTTTTCTATTTTGTCGATATCTTGAAACTGAAACTATTTATGGCTTTACTTGCTACAATTTTGCATTCTTGTATGTACCAGAAATGTATTTCATAGTCAACAGGAATGATGAGACTACTGCTTGTTTAAAATCTGGGATATCGACAAAGTAAAAAGAAATATTGTACTCTTTGATTTGTTTCGCTATCAATTATGAAATATTTTTCGTGATAATAATGTTATCTTAAGCATCTTATTAGAAAGTACATCTAATATTGAATTGATTAGCTGGATTTTTCTTCTCAGACGAGTAAAACCTAGCAAGATATTAATCATTGAAGAAATGTCATTATTATTGGCGGTGAATAACAATATATGAAAAATCCTAAGGAGTAATATATTCATTAGCTTGAACTATGGAAAGACAGATTACACGAACTAATATAATTTAATTATTCCCTTCCTCTTAACTTAGTATATCAGCTTACATATTTAACAGAGATGAACCAGTCATATTTTTCATATTAGATCTAATTTCTATAAGCGAAAAACTTAACTCAGCTCAACTCAATAACGTAAAAGAGGAATTTATATCAAATACACACTTATATAGGTGTCATGTAGTTCGAGTGAGAAAGTTAAAATATCACACGTGTGAAACGAATGCAGCATTTAACGATATATAATGAGTTAGTTACCATTAAAATGACAATCACGCGTGAAAAAGTATGAAAAATCTAATGAGTTCACATACGTTTTCGGAATATAACGAAAGTTCATGAAATTTTCTTCATGAAATTTCATTAATTTGTCTTTTAACGCATTTTTTTGCGTTAATTTTATGAATCATTTCGTTAAATACCTTTTTACTTTTACATGGGATGCGCATTCAAGGATAAAAGAATTACACAGAATTGTAATTGGATAGTCCGTGTAAGAAACACAGGAGTAAACACTTTGCTGATATCATGTATCAAAGAAACATAATTGACATTCGATATTGAAATCGATATTATAATTCTTTATCCATCTTGCTATGTAATTTAGGTAAATCACCACCCGTAAAGCCAAAACCTCCACCTACACCCGCTGTTCCACTTGTAGATTTAAGAAAATATCCGGCTAAACCTATCGCACGAGTCCCACCATACGTATATAAGTAACTGCACTATATTCCTTAATCATAAGCGCATTTCATTCATATCTAGTCGTCCTCCTCCTCCTGCTGCAGCAGCTCATCCACCATTTCAATGTCGAAAACCTCTCTGTGAAGACTATATTAGAAAACTAAACCTTTCAAAGGCATATTTTTCAAATCAGTACGACAGATGCTTCTGCAGAAAGTGCCATGATCCTTCAAGAACAGATGCAAAATGTGGGCATCAATGCACAAAATTCCATGGTTGGATCCGACTCGGTCTTCGTCTAAATGAAGCTCATAAAAAACAGTGGAAGATTTTTACAGAATGGAAGACAAGCTATTATGGAACATCGCCAAATCGATTATCATCAATTTTAAGTAATCGCTTTATTCCATTCGACGGTGATCAACTCGCTGATGGAACTCAATTCAATAGTGGTCATCCAGATCCCAGTCATTGTACCACCTGTCCTTCACTAGCCGACGCCAGTCAATCTAAGTTTACTGTTCGTTCAAATTTCAAAGCGATGGATGGAAATAATTATTACGTTCGAATAGTGCTACAATGCAAGCAACAGCCAGATAAGATTATCGTCAAGGAAGATGCGACATCATTTCAAAAAACTGAATGGGCAACAAAAGCACGATCTAGTGTAGTTCCATTTGGGTTACTTATACAATTACAGTTACAGAAGATATGAATTTCTATTGACAGACTGATTAAGCATATCAAACGGTCGAAAAAAATTTCTAAAAGTCTAACACGTAAGATTGGTATCGTTGCAAAGAGTGCAAAAAACTGAGTATTACCTTAGAATATGAGTGCGGAGTATAGTGTAGTCCCAAGCAAAATTTTTCTCAAACGAAATTTCCTGCAAGAACAACTTTTTTGTTCTTTCTTTAGTTTCTTCTTTCGTTCAGTCATTCGCGATGACGTATATATATAAATGTCGTAGGACAGATTGAAATCCAGTTCAGTTTTAAATCGAACTAGGACA